TTCTTTACTACTAGGGGCAGATTTTTTTACTGGAATAGAGTTACCGACAAAGTTCACAGACCGTCTATTTCCTTAGTAGCTATCGGAATAAAATTAGGCTGGGCAGTTAGTGGAATAGAAAGGGCTTAATAATTCATGCTAGTTGATAAAATTCCATTAAAATTTTATCGTCTATTGTAAATGTTATGAAGGTCGTGGTTCATAGCAATGAAGGTACACAGAATGAATCACAGACTACTTTTCTTAAGAATCTCCAAGAGCTCGAATCCATAAGGATAAATTACGATGCTGATAAGGAACCCGAATTAGAAGATAATTCAATTTTCGAGAATTTCAAAAGTTTGTAAAATTTGAAAACGATCGTTACATTCATTCGATTCCTTTCGTGGAATCATAATTCAAACAAACTTGGAGATAATTTTCAGATTGCTAAAATTAGGTTTTAAGAGTTTAACTCGGAGATTACAGAATAATTAGCAATTCTGTGACAGATATCACGAAGTAATTGATGAATATTTAAAAGGAGGAATTTTCGAAAAGACTAACATTGAAATAACAACAAAAAGCCTATTTTATGCCATATCAAGCCGTTATAACAGAAAACAAAGGAACTACAAAACTCCATGTGGTTTTCGATCCTTCATCGCATGCGGAGAATCGTTTGTCATTAAATTACTGTTTGCATTCAGTTCTAAAGATGTGTCCAGATATACTGGAATTACTCTTTAAATTCCATCAAAATCGAATTGCGTTTACAGCTGACATCGGCCAAACATTTTTGCAAATTTCTCTTGCTGATGAAGACAGAAACGCTGTAACATTTCTATGAACGATGGTGAAGTAAATGAAACCATAACCAATTCTTAATGTACACGCTTAGAGATACAAGCCACAGTACCCGAATGTATATTCCATGCTCACTCAAAATATGTTTGTTGGCGACTTAATTGCTGGAACAGATGAAGAATCAAATACTTTCAAATTTTCAAAATAAATCAAATAAAATATTCAGAATTAACAAAACCCCTCCCAAATATCACCTCAAATTTTCCAATAAGTATGGAACGTTTTGTATACTGCAATGCAGTTCTGGTTATGTTTTGATTGAAGTGTAGTGCAGGTTTTGATACGGTAATTATGGTTACTTCGACCAAAACAAAAGGTTAAAAAATTCCATATTTTAGTGATGGGGCTCCTCCTTATAGGCATTACAGAGGTAAAGACACTGCTTGAATCATGAGCTTCCACGTCATTGGACTGATCAGTATGGAAAAGATAATTTAGCATTGTTTAAATGCTGCCTGTCCCCTATAGTCTTGAGATCTAGCGAAATTTTGTTTCCTTTGTGGATATATTAAAGACAATGTTTATATGCCCCATCTGCCAGGAACATTAGATGAGCTCCATAACCTCAGTATAGTTCTATTGATGACCATTAGCAGATAAATGTTGGAACACATAAAGAGAGAACTGGAGTAATACTTGGATGTCTGTTGCATGACAAGAGAAACAAATACCGAATGTTTATAATATTATGAATAAAATTTGAAAGATTTTTTCTTCATTTTATATAGTACTTATTTTTTAATTGCAATGAATTACGAAATACAGTATTTTGAAACCTGATGGATCATTTTAAATAACCTTTCATCTTAACTTCTTAGGAACTTGTAACTTATTAGAAAATATGCTATTAATTTTAATCTATGACTTAAATTTCTGTTAAATGCAACATTTATAAATAATAGTGCCTAATTTTATAAATACAAGGAAACCTTACCTACTTCAACAATAGCTTTTCATAAATAACAAATTTTTAAGGATTAAGAAGTTATTGCTACATGACTCCCGTAAACTTAATGTTAAATAAATCAATCATTTTAATTCTCACATTTATTTAAACATAAAGTATTAATATTCAAATATTGCTACATGACTCCCGTAAACTCAATGTTAAATAAATCAATCATTTTAATTCTCACGTTTATTTAAACTTAAAGTATTAATATTCAAATAATATTCTGTTGGAGTGCAACGCGAATATGCTTTGAAACAATATTACATTACTAAAGATATTTTTAAATTAATTTTAAAAATAAATATTTTCTTTCTTATTTGAATAAATGCGCATAAAGTAAGATTATAAACAAATAAATTTCTTACATTTAATTAACATTTTACTGTTTAAAACTTTAAACAGAAATATTTATTCCATATAAAGAATACATTAAGTATATTATACTTCATATCAGAATGTTCATTCATATCAGGATGTTCAAGAAATGTAGCAAAAGGCTTACTTTTCTTAAATATTGATCTTAGACATGTGCTTTCAAAATAAGGTAGAAGATGTTTTTCAACATCGCGGGCAACTGCCTACCGCAAAAATAAATCTAATATTTTATACAGTCGCTTACATTCGCAAATATCATCAGTAACAGGCACGGAAAAATGGCGTAAGTCATTAATGTTGTGTACATAATTGTTTGATCGTGTTATTAAAAAAAAAAAAAAAAAAAAAAAAAAAGGTGAATTATTTTTCTGATTTAAGAAAATCTTAATTTTATTTAAATGTGAATTATTATTTTAATGCCTTAATTTTGGGGAAAAACAGATGCTTCTAAGAATATTATTTAGCTTCTAAGAATATTATTTATTCTCCTTCCATTGTGATAAGAATTCGGGAAGGGAGGTGATTTTGCTAAGTCATGATTTTCGCGGGTTGTTTTTGCCACTTGGAAAGTTCCAGAAGAAATTTCTTTTATGCAATTGATCTTTTGGACAGGATGTACGTGACGGAAAGGTCAGAGGTTGCCACTTCACCTTCGAAGTAAGTCATCTTATTTGGCGATCGGGGTGTCCGGTGGTTGGCTAAGTGAAGAGGGGCGCGCATGTGTGATCAACCTTATTTCGGTCATTCAGGGTAGGATTGAATTGGATTATTAAATTATGGCAAAGCACACGAGGGCCGTCTGCCTGAAGGGAGGGATGCCTTCGTGGAGGACTTTCTAAGGGAAACTGGCTCGTATACACGTTACAAATGGGGAAAAGCACGAAAACGCCCATGCAGCCAGCCCGTTTGCGGGATTCGAACCTCGAACCGAACTACCAGAGTTCAGCGTCTTTACCGCTCGGCCGCTGGTGGGCCCCCATTCAGGGTAGAAACGCAAATTTAGGCCCAAATGGGGGCGATAAATGAAGCCGCTATGGGAGTCCGTGTTTGAAGGAGACGAAGAAAATTCGAGTTTGAATCACTTGTTGACTGACACTCAGATTTTAGACTTGTGCTTGTTGTGAGAAAAGAAAGACAGATGTAATTCGCCGATTAGCTGCGCTTCCGGCGGGTAGCGGCAATATGCTCCCCGGCCGCGTGTTTCGCAAAAATGCGAGAATGTTTGTTGAGCATAATCTTCTGAAAAATGAAAGATTTGAATTAGGGACTGTCTTCATATACTTTTGCGTTCTGATCTGGTTAAATTAGATATGATCAGCTAATATGCTCTCTCCAGCTTTTGTGAATTGAAGTTTGATACCTGATTGATCTGCATACAGATTATAAGCCACTCCAGTTACTTAGCCACTGTAAATATTCTTACGGGCATGGACCAGGATTGCTACTCATGGCACTCCATTCTAATGGCTCACCCATTCTTTTAATCCGCCAATTTTCCGTGCACGGTATAGTTGACTTTCCTTGAGTGTGATGCAATTTATTGCCGTGCCGTTCGAGTCCCTGTGGTGTGGATTTGCCAGGTGGCCTAAGGATAGATTTAAAGATAAAGTTCACCAAGATGTCTTCAAGATGTCTACTTAAAGATAAGTTTTTTTTCCTGTGTTTTCATTTATTCCTATGAACCTTAAAGAAATTCCAGAATTTTCTTTAGGACTTTATACTTCATATTGAATCTCTAAATTAATTCTGAATGGCTGAAAGTTGGCTCCGTTTCCTTGTCTTTCTTTTACAGAGACTAAAATGGAAAATCTTAATAAATTAATTATGGTATAAAAATATAGTTTGTTTTTGTGAAATTATCCTTAGTATAGATGTTGAATTTCAGAAATGTACCTGAAGAAAGTAATGTGCTTTTGACCATCCTAGAAATTGGTTCTGGTTAAAGTTAAATTAAATGGGTCATAAAGTGAATTCTGAGACTAATTAAGTTAATTGAAAAGAAAATGAAATTTTTAAATCCTTAATTTAAATGTGTAAATGATATAAATTGATTAGTTCACATGTGTTACTGAAATAAGGAATAGAGTATTGATTACCTAGGATGTGAATTTTAATTAAAAATGTTGAGGAATCTGAATAAACTTATATTTTAATCTGGAAACCTATTTTTATTGTTTTCATTTATATCTATTTATGTGTTTCCTTTATATTTTGTATTTACTGCTTGTTATCCGATCCTCTCACGGCACGGTTCACACAACGCAATTTAATTTGTACGATCACTAAAATATTGAAATTAACTTAAGAGCTCTTAAGATCTCTTAACTAGCTCTTAAGAGTTTATTTTCAGTTTGGTATTTAGTTAGTCACGATTTCAACTGTATGTTTCTATTTCGGTATTTACACCTTCAGATACTGATATAGAAAATAGAACATTAATTTGTTCACAAAAATAAGTGTGACATAAATACGAGCCAGTTTCGATTCAAATGCACTTCACAAAGGCATTCTTCGTTTAGGCACATAACGCTCATGTGCTTTGACATAATCAGAATAAAGTAAATCATTCTAAAATATCATCGCGAATTTTCCAAAAGGAATGTAACTTTTTGTTTTTAGCTCATCAAGATATTGTTAGCATTTTTCGAAGTGGAATACAGAGTGTAACATAAAAAGCTAGAATTTCTAACAAAAATTTCTAAGAATCGTTATAATGATAAATATATGTCCAAGATCATTATTTAATAAATAAAGCTCATAGCCTTTTTTTTTTTTTTTTTTTTTTTTTGTCGAATATACTCCGGAAATTATAATGTAACGCACTTACCTCTTTTAACTTATTTTCAAATTCATCAGGTTTATCCTCAGAAGGTAAAATTGCTTTCATAGTTTTAACTTGAGGTTCCGTGCACTGCCACTTTTCATTCAGATTTTTCCCAAAAGATTGTTGTTGGAAAGATATGCTTGTCATACTATGCATTTCAGTCACTTCCTTAGAATAAACCACACGAGATATCTCAGAGGTCTTCTGGTCCTGGTATGACTGATATGAACTTGTGCCTGGCATAGCAGAAAATCCGTAACTTATTGTTTCTGATCTGGTTTTCGAGTCCTCACCTTCTGATACGCTTTGCGTTGGTGGCTGTTTAAAGTATTTAGATTTAAGACTCTCTATTTCTTGCAATAATTTCGCCTTCGATTCGGTACTGGATAATGCACTATCGGGTGCAGTCTCAAGAGATGAATCATGTCGACTTTCTCCTTTGGAATCATCTAGGACTTCAATTTTATGAATTTTTTCCGTTCTAGAGTCCTGAGTTCCAGCTTGACTGGATTGCTTGTCTAAACCCTGATGAGTTACTATGTTTTCACGAGTAGATCCACCCTCTTTTATATGAGTTTTAATTTCATACGACTTTTTTACTTCAGTTTTGACATCAGTCATTTCGCTTTTACTGACTGTAGAAGAATACTTAGGAGGCTCATAAAATTTTGCTGTCTTTGGCGATACAACTTTTAAATGGTCTCTTTCTGTGTCTCCAGGTGTACAGTTTTCTGTTTTTTTCAACTGTGGGGCATTTTGTTTTTCCGTCGAAAGCTTTAAATCATCTTTTATTGGTTTAGATTCGTCACAAACTTTCACAACATGCTCACTGGCAGGGAGCGGTTGGATGCTGGACGTGTACTTTTTTGGTTCATGGACACTACTTACAGCAGCATACATTTCTTGGGGACTCTCTGGTTTCTTATCACTTTGAGCTGGGACTGCTTGGACCTCTGGCTCATTTGTGACCGGAAGATCTTCAAAGTTGTCGTCTGAAATGTATTCTTCTGCTAAGTCGTCATCTAGTGATTTAAAATCGTCAAGTGTAGTTCCGTCTTCTGACAGTGCAGAGCACCAATCTTCCACACCGGAGATACTAGTGCTTCGCCATGTATCTGGAGAACGGGCTGTCACATATGTACTAGATTCAGTTGGTGGCTGTTCATCATTCAGATAGGTTCCTTGAATCTGTTGCACAGTTTTTTCAGCTTCAGACATTGTTCGTCGGATATGAATCACAGCACTACTTGAAAGCAAATTTACCCTAAAAATAAAAGGTTATATTAAGTATTTTAAATTACTTATTAAAACATTTATTTATAGACACAAATACACTATTGTTCAGTGAAACTGCAACCCCAAGAAAAAGATCGGATCTGCCAAACATTCAGCAAAGGGTCGTTTATTGCCTGAAATATAAAAGACTAGAAACTCATCTGCGCATATTAATAGGAAGCTCAATGTAATATTGACTGAAAACGGATATAAAAGAGGGCCACATAGAGCAAATTCCGAACAGTACCTCAATATACTCGATTTGCACTGCTCTACTAGTAAGCGAAAAGACAGATGCAAAATAAGACATCATGAACTGCTTGCAGATTTTGGAAAAATGAAAGTTCTTTCTGTTTTCACTGAAGGTATCGGAGATTTTTTTTCATTGAAAGCCAAAAGAGCACTGCTCATCTTGAGTGAAATTCTAGCATAGTTTTGTGTGTGAGGCGACAGTGTAAGATAGAAGGTACAGTATATTTAGTGAAGGAGTCTAGATTATCTAGATCTACGTCAGAAAAAGAAGAGAGGCTTTTGGTATGCATGGTGCTTAGATCACATCGCAAAATCCACAACGATGTTATAACAATAAAGGAAGTAACTTATTTGATTAGACCTGTTTAACAATGATTGCTGCAGTGAGAGTTTACAGCTGTGTCTATTACTGAAACTTTCTTTTACCATCTCCAACAGACATTATAACGGTGCTAAGAGCGAAGATGCTTGAATTTTGAATTGACGCAATATAATCTCTGAACTCATGAAGATCAGACCTTCGTTCGCCATCAACAATGGACAAATGTCGTCTGAAACACTGTATTAGAATGTCATAATGGTACTAGCGTGAGCGTCGTGGGTGGTCATGGATCTTGGGTGAACCGCATGGTGAGTCTCATTTCACTCATGCTTTCATATTCTATATATCATAGGCACTACGAACACTCAAAGATACGTTAGTGAAATCTTGGAACCTTAAGACGTCCTATTGGCTGTAGCGAAACCTTCCTGGAGCTATTTTTCCATAGGACAATGTTATCGCTCCTGTTGCATGCAATATCCAACATTTCCTCTGTGAACAGCATGCGGTCTTCCAATTATTCCACTCTTAAACATTACTCTAAAAAAATCAATTTGTTTTTTGAAACTGCAACCTAAATTTGTTTTTTAAAGTCCTAAATTACATAAGTAATAGACATGAAAAATAGTTTAAGTCATTCTGCAATATCCGCACAAATTTTGTATTCAAAATACAAAATAATTTACTTTTAACTAAATATAGAGTGAATGAACGTATTACTAATTAGCATTTTTATTCTTCAGTTACATGTAAAAGTTAAATTTTATATTTGCAGATCTTTCCATAAGCCTGTAACTACTTTTTTCAAGCATTCATCATAAAGCCTGAAACATCTTGCACAGTCACTTGAAAACTATGAAATAAATATGAATTAATTAAACTAAATACAATTGCTTACATAATATCAGTTATGTCATTTATACGTAAGCGAATAAAAGAGAAATAACTTCAAATCTTAATAATTGTAATAAAACTTAATAAACTAATTTAATGATGCTGAATCCGTGGAATATTAATATATACATCTGACGTCAGTATCACTCCAGTTTGCTACTAGTGCAGCGAAGAAGTTCAGATATGCATTAGCCGTGGACAAGAGCAGACGCGCTCTGAGGCCGAAGCAGACGGGCTTAGACCGCAAGTCGGAGAATCCCATTGATGAGCCATCGAGGAGTGTAGTCTACCAGTTATAATAGTGTCCCGCCAGCGTTTGTGAATACCTAAAATGTGCTCCCGAAATGATTAACTACGAGGACTTCGTAAATCTCTGTGTTTATGGACTGCGTCATTCTTGTGGGGCTTGCCAGCAACTATGTTAATGTTATGTCTTACCAGTTTTCTAATTCATCACAATAGTTTAGTAATAAATTTGTATAGTTCTAAACTTCGTTTCGTGCTCCCATCTTTTCCCCTCGACACACACACACACACATATATATATATATATATAATATGAAAGAAAACTATTAAACTTAATTGAAAACAATTAGCAATAGATCTCCAAAATTCATAAAATTTAATTAAACACATCCCACTTCGAAGATACGCATTGCACGAATTTGCGTCCCACTGCCTCATGTTACGTCATTCTTTCCCTGCAATTTCTCTGCACTGCGACTTCTTTAGCTCAGTCGCTGCTCAGAATTAACACAAAGATTTTTTCGGCTCATCGACCGTTTTACATCACTCTACCGCATGTTACGTCACGCTTTCCCTGCAATTTCTCTGAACTTCTATGCCTGCTGTGCTTCAGTAAACCACTTCTCTAGCTTCGCCTTCCTTGTCTATTGTTTAACATGTAAACTTCATATACATAAATTCTGAGGCTCGTTTAGCACCCATAGTGTTGTACCAATTTAAGCAAAAATGTATTTCTGAATAATTACTCCTGTGCAAAATAAAAAAGAATGTTTTAACCATCAAACCAGTTGTGATTTTCACACCAGTCGTCATCTAAGCAACAGTCTTTTCGAGTTATTAAGTTATTTCTCAAGTTAAAGAATTAATTGATTTCATATTTTCGAGTGGCAACATCCACGTTTTTCTTGCACAAATTGATCAGAGCAGTGAAAAACCGTAAATGGCGTTGGAATGATGAAACGCGTCAGCGTAAAACATTCGTAAAGAAAAGCTTAACACATGAGGGAAGACAAAAAAAAAAAAAAAAAAAAAAAAACACGTTTTTTAAAATCACAAGTTTACAACGCGTAAAACGTTTCAAGATAGAATAATCTCCCTAAATTTACGATTTTTCGAACACCGCGGCCTTTCGATCTAATTGCGATGTATTTCTGGTTCTGCAGATATCTGAAATCTAAGGTAGGCACATCAAATCTACAAGATTTGTAAGAATTAGTTTTTCAGTTCGCTGATCAGTTTGCTCAGGAAAAAAAAAATGGATGTTGCCATTCGAATTTGTTCACTGTAACCGTAACCGTAAGAGCTCTATTGTTTTAAATCATCACAATTTCGAGCGCATACCTTCAACTAATTATATCTGAAATTTCATTTCTATTGGTACAGCGGATAGGCTGCAAGGTGTTTATATATCGGGGTCTTTTTTTATGACCAACCTGTATATACACATATAATATATATTAAGAAACATAGACTAAAAATTAAAAACATATTTTAACTAGTCCTGCGCATTAGCTGCGGGATGGAAGCAAATTAAACTTAAAGCATCTAAAGTTAAAATTAAACTGGGATCAAAGCAAGGCAATTCCTCAACAATATTAATAATTGCAACCGTGGATAAGAGGTTTAACCGTGTATCTAAATATATCAAAACTGAACAAGAATTCATCAGTAGAACAAAGTCGAAAAATAAAAATGCAAAAAGGAAAAAATATTCAAAATTATAAAAATTAATCTCCTTTTACTAAAACTTTAATTCAGAACTCATCAAGGGAAATTGAATTAAAGTTTCATAAAAGTCGATTAATATGTTTCGAATACATGTTTCGTTCTTTTGGTTCATTTGAGATTAAAAACCAAAAACATATTCGATTAAATTTTCATTTAAGACATTAAAATTCATTAAAAACCGAAAAATCGAATCTCAAATGCATCCAGAATTTTCCCTGCACGCTTTCGAAACGCTTGGAAAAAAGAATAAAACATTACTTTGTGCCAAATTGACTACTAAAAAAACAATAAAACTTTACATTATGCAAACTGACAATTAAAAAAAAAACAAATTGGTCAAATAACATTATATGTAAATCCAACATTGAAAAGCAATTATAAATCAAAGAATAAAACAAATATACTTTAAATCAAATTGTCGTTTAAACAATACTCAAAAATTGGGAGGTCCCCGATTATGCGATCCTAAACTTTTAATACCAAGGGAATGAAAATCTTTTCAGAAGAGATTTCTATAAAAAATATCTAATCTAATCTGAGTCTTAAACAGCTAAACACTGAAAACCTATTTGAAACAAAAATTGAACAAAACGTAAGCTTACTGAATTCTAAAGACGACTATCTTTTTCCAAACCGTTTTCCTTGCAAAAGAAAGTTAAATTCAAGGCTACTCTGTGTGTCCCAGATTATTGAGAAGCCCTCTCGCCAACGTCAAGGCCACGGGACATGAGAGAGATTTTATTTTAATTTATTTATTTCATAAAACAGCATCAAAAAGGCAAAATACACAAATGGTAAATAAACATATGGTTACAAAGTAGTTATATTATATTGCAGACAAATATAATTACAGATAAATGAGATTACACATAAACAAGATTAGTGATAAATAAGATTACATCACAGAACTGTTATTATACTAATCCATTGCAAAATTATGCGCCACACCTTTCAGGTATTCCATTATTTCTCGATTTTAAAAATCTTCAACTATTACATTAATTCTCGTATCAGCTCGCAGATACCTATTCCGCTTGTGCAGCGGTTCATCTCCAGGTACAAATTTGTTCATAACTTTGATCAATTGATTTTTGAACACGCCTGAGACCATCTATGAATTCCCATAATGTGGGGGTGTGAAATACCAAACGATGATGACACCAAATTTATTTGAATGATGATGCAAACTTATTCTAAAAATAAATAAAAATACGAAAAATATGGCGTCAAACAAAAGCAAAAAAAGTATGGCGTCGAACTGACCCCGCGTCGAAACGACTCGTTTCGAATTGACCATGCGTCGAAACGCTGGCGTCGAACCGTTGGCGTCGAAATGTTGGCGTTGAACTGACCTGTACCGTCCTATGTTTTCTGTGCACTACAAGTTTGCTCCATCAAACTGTCTCTTGATCAAGAACTAAGTTATTTAAAAGCAGTAGCTATTGACAGGAGCTTTTCATCCAACATTTATTAAACAAGCAGCTAAAAAATTCTCCTCTAAGCACACCAGGAGATTATAAAAATTCTGTTGTCATTCCTTTCCTTCC